CATGCGCACAGCCGCTTGCGGCGCTGTCCGCGGTCGGCAGCAGGACCCATTCCCGAGCTGAGGTTTTTGGAATTGCGCATCCACCAGTGGCTGAGCGCCTTAGCACAACCCACCGGAGCCAGAACCTGCACGCGGTTCTGTGAGAGCAGGTGGTGATGCTGGTACCGCACAGCGATGGCGAGCGTAGCACCCGGGCCCAGTGGAAGCTGCGCTCTGCCTGTGACTGAAATGGCCGCGGTCTGGCCCCGCCTCACCAGCTACTAAGTGGCAGCACTGGAGCTTCGCCCCACTTCTCCAGGGGTGTCCGTACCCCTGCCGTCATCCCTCGGGGTGTCCACGGAAAACACTAGTAGATGGACTGTGCTTTGTTTTTGTTTTTTCCAAATGACGTCAGGTTCACCTGTGAAAGTGCTGTCCGGCCGGTCATGAGCAGTGACTAATAGGCCTTCCTAGCCGTTCCCCCTCCCGCCGCACGGGTCCTTGCCTTCAGCCAGTGGCCAGTGCCGCAGAGCTAATAGGTGGGCTTCCTAAGGTGACATGACCCCACCTGCGTCTTCCTCAGTTCGCTCTGCTGGTTAGTGACGCTCTGAGACACTGCAGGTGACTTGCGCACCCACTTACAGCCTGGTTGAGGAAGGCGCTGATGACAGCCCGGGGGCAGCCGGGCCTCCGAGCACTGCCCCCGTGGCCCTGCCATGTGGGAGGGCCGTTCTTCCATCTCAGCTGACCTGTGGGTGCCGGAGAGGAAGGCACTGCTGCTGCGGTGTCATCTCCAGCTGGAGGGACCCAGTCACTGCCAAGCAAACGTGATGTCTCATGTCTTCCTTTCCTTCCCCAGCTTTGCCTTCTCGAACTTCTACCCTTTTCCGAGACGGCTGGCAAGAGGAGAACGGACTAGATTCCAACGCCAGGGGGCTGGGTCCAGGTGAGCCGCACTTGAGTTCTCTCCTCACAGCGCCACACCCTTCCTTGGAGTGAGCGCGTCCTTCCTCCTCCTGCCACGCGTGGTCCACCCACACGGCCACAGCACCCTTTGTGCTCGCGGGAAACGCACACACACTTCTGGTGGGTCCCGTGTTCGCCAGACATCCTCCGTGGCCTTGTGCCATCCTTTCGGTATCCCCACTCTTTTCCCAGCACTCGACTACCACTTCAGGCCTCCTCTTTCTCTCTTATTGGGCAATTAAAGAAGCATGAGGGAAGTCATTATTCACCAGTAAACATGGCCCCTCCCGTGGAAAAGGAAGCGCGTCCCTGGAGCTCAGTGTGTTAAGTAATGAAAGACATTGAACAAGGGATTGTGAGACACATGCATTCGCTGCAGGCAGTTACCTTAATCTGGAAGAGGCCACGTAGGGCCTTTCTGAGGAAACCAGGGACGTGGAAGTTGAGCCCTGAAGGGTAGTGGATGGTACCGTGGGAAGAATAGTGTTGGGAGAGGAGACGTGGATGTTCCTGAGGGAATGAGAGAGGAGCCAAAAGTCCAGGACTCCAGTCAGCATTGGATTGAGGTGGGGAACAGGTAAGCACATGGCTTGATCTGAAGCACATGGGCAGCCACGGAGACCTTTTCACCATGGAAGCAACACGATAATCAGGGTTTTGTTTTTAAAATGTCATCTGGTTGCAGGGTTCAGAAGGGGAGGGTTGAAACAGTGGGTGCCAGGAGACCACCCTCAGGTCCGAGTGAGAGATGGTGGCTTGGATTTAGGGTCACAGCAGAGGGTAAGTGATGGGCTGGAGGGGTACACAGAGAGACTCAGTAGGGCTGTCCCCGTTGTTCACGGCCTGCTGACTGATTCAGACCAGACTTAGGGAATCGTGTTGCCTGGGGACGTGAACAGCGCAGCTGCTCATTCTACCAGCAAGCCTTGGTACTGGGCCTGGTCTGGGCAGGGTCATGCTAGACTTTGGGTCTCCAGAAGTGAGTGACATAATCCTTGGCCTCAGTGTCCCCCGAATGAGAACTCCAGTTAAATGCAGAGTAAGACAGGTGGGCTTGTCCAGGTGGGCCGTGCTGGTGTACCACCCGGGACAGGCTGACATGCTGCTTGAAGCGGGCCCTGGGGGTGGGTGGGTTTACGCCCGGTCTGGATGAAAGCTCCCCAGCTGGGAAAACAGCTTGCTCAGTGTTGGTTCACCGATTTATGGTGGGAGGTCACTATAGCAGAGACACAAATACTCAAAAGGGTGTGATCAGCAAATTCTCTCCCTGGAGGCAGACCTACATGGCAAGTGAAACCATCATGAGAAGGGTGCTTGGTGCATACGGAATCAGAGCAAGAGCACGTGGACATGCTTTAAGAGCACTGGCCTGCACGGAGGCGGGGCCCATCTGGTGCCATAAGCTCTTGCTGGGGTTACCGTGATACCAGGGGCCCCATCTCCGGCCCCCACCCTCCCCAATCCATTCACAGTAAGTCTGACCCAGGAAACACCTCGAGTGGACAACAATAAGGAAGCTTTGCTGCAACGTGGTAAGTGGTAGAGGTGTGAGCCTGGGGTGATGTGTCGACTATCAGAGGAGCCTCCTCACGGACCAGAGCGGGAGGCTGTGGCTGGTCTGGGTAGGGTAGTGGTCATTCCCTACTTGCTCACATCCCCACATAAGATCCTTACCTCAACAGCCCCTCTTGTCCATATGTACCTGTTGGCTGGACCAGATGGGACACACAGCCTAGAGCACTGGTTTTCACAGTACCCAGCTCCTAAGGTGCTTGTTGGAACCACAGACCTACATTGTCACAGCTGGAAAGGAGGCTCGATTTTCCCAAGTGCCAAAGGCATCCCACATGTGAGGGCCACACCTGAAACCTACCTCCTATGTATATAAAAGGCTAAGCGAACATGATGTGCACTGACCACCAGGAGGCAGATGCTCCAACCGGTAGCTATGATGCGCACTGACCACCAGGGGGCAGATGCTCAATGCAGGAGCTGCCGAGCTGCAGTGACTTGGCAGCTGCGGTTCTAGGGTGACACACCCAGAACCAGAGAGGAGGAAGCTCAATTCTGGGGCGCATCACCCAAGAACCGCCCTCTCGCAATCTGGGACCCTTTGGGGGATATCAGAGAGCCAGTTTCAGCCCGATCCCTGCAGGCCAACCGAGGGACCCCACTGGTGCACAACTCCATGCACCAGGCCTCTAGTATATTAATGTTGATCAATGTCACCCCAATCAATTTGCTAAGTAAGATGAAAATTTAAAAATAAATAAAATAGAAATTTTAAATGTTCATTCTAAAAAAATAAAAGCCTTTTCCTGCTCCTAGATGATAAAAATTAATATTTTATTTAATTTTTATTTTAGATCTAGCATTTTTATATATGGTATGATCTTCCCCCTCAAGTTAATGATTGGCTAGTTTTCCTATTCCTACTTATTGAAATAATATACACATCCCTTACTATGTTCCAATGCCACTTTCATAGACTACTACATACTCAACTTCGTATAGTAAACTCATTATGATTCTTAAATGAATCAGTCTTTCTGTTATAAATTTCAAGTGGTTTTCTTTTGTTATTTTTTTCCCTTTGGCTTTGATGGTATTGACAAGACCATTACTTCTTATTTTTATGTCATCTTTCTGCCTTTAGGCATCATACTGTAAAAGAACTTTCTTACCCCAAGATTATATCAAACTATTTCTTGATGATGGAAAAAATAAAAGAATTCCATGGTCAGATGCATTTCTAAAACACTAAACTTTATACCCCTTTCTTGAAGAATCAAGATGTATTACTACTCACTGTGTTTACAGTGATTTATGACATATACCTGCTCTAGAAGAGTGTCAAGAGCAAAAAATATATATATTTCTTAAATTTTGTGTTTGGCTTGTTGACCTTTTGACGTATGAATTCTCAAAATATTGATCTAAATGGAATTCTTCCCTGTTAACTTAGAGCCACTGCCCAGTTCCCATTAGTATTCTTTGAAATTCCATTATATGATCCACATTAATTTGGGGGAGGATTTAGAACTTGAGTGTCCTGGATCCATACTCTTCCAAGACTATCCTGTGTCTCTAGTTTACTGCAGTATAATTTGTAACTTTATGTAGGTGCTATTTTTTTATATTGGAGTTCTTCCCGCTTAAAAAAAGTATTGTTGATATATATTTAAGGAGTCTCTTATAAGTTATTTCCTTATTAAATTATAACATCTTTCTATTGATTCATAAGAGAATGATTTTACACCTTTCTTTATGCCTCAGATTTGTTTTTCTTGTCTTGTAATTAGCTAGAACTCTAGAGCAGCGGTTCTCAACCTGTGGGTCGTGACCCTTTTGGTGGTTGAACAACCCTTTGACAGGGGTCGCCTAAGACCATCGGAAAACACATATATAATTACATATTGTTTTTGTGATTAATCACTATGCTTTAATTACGTTCAATTTGTAATTGAAAATACAATCCTGCATAGATATTTACATTACGATTCCTAACAGTAGCAACATTACAGTTATGAAGTAGCAACGAAAATAATTTTATGGTTGGGTCACAACATGAGGAGCTGTATTTAAAGGGCCAGAAGGTTGAGAACCACTGCTCTTAGAGTGATGTTCAGTAATGATAGTGTTTAGACTTTTAGGTCTGCTTTCATTAAGTGAGTGGTCTTCGGTTTGTTAGTGCTAATCTTTGCCTTGGGTTTTTGAATTCTGGTTTCATAGAGAAAATCTGAAGGTTTTCTGTTTATTTTTCCTGGTTGGCTTATATGACACTGTATTCGGTCTTTCCTTGAAGGTGACCTAAGAGGCCTCACCCCTAATGATCCCCGAGTCGACAGCCATTTGGAGAATGGATCACGGACACTATTTTTACATTTCTTCTGTGTTCATTTGTCATGTGTTTCTTTCTGTGAAATGACTGCAGGTCCCTGGCATTTTGACTGTTCCTGTGCGTAGTGGCTTGTTCGGCAGTTGCAGAAAGGATCTGTTCCACCAGGTGATTTGTGTACCTGAGCGTGTCCTGCTGTCTCTGAGATTGGACTGGATCCTGTCGGGGACTCAGGTTTTCTCTCCGACAGGCGCGGGCTCTGTGTTCTCCCTCCCTCCTTCCCTCCGGGGCAGGTGTCGGCTCTGTGCTCTCCCCTCCCTTCCGTGGAGGCCTATTGGCTTCTGAGGCCCCTGCCCTTGCCCGAGGCCGTCCCCCTGAGCCAGGTCCTGGGTAAAATTGTGCTGTTGTCCGAAAGATCACTCCAGTGCTCAGAGCCAGGCCATTTGCCCGCCCCCTGCTTGGAAGCGCCAGCTCAGCAATGGCATCTAGTGCCCTTCTCCACTGTCACTCCTGCTGCTGAGGAGGGCAGGGCAGCCGGGTGGCGCCACAGCTCCAGGGGGGACCATGGAGGACAGTTCCAGTGGGAGCAGAGTGCAGCCCATCACAGCGGGAGAGCATGGGGCCGAGTTTACAGCTTTTATTCCCAAATGATAAAGTCTATTTTGAAACTCTAAATCAGGGGTCCTCAAACTTTTTAAACAGGGGGCCAGTTCACTGTCCCTCAGACCGTTGGAGGGCCGGACTATAGTTTTAAAAAAAACTATGAACAAATTCCTATGCGCACTGCACATATCTTATTTTGAAGTAAAAAAACAAAACGGGAACAAATACAATATTTGTATTTGCATGTGGCCCACGGGCCGTAGTTTGAGGACCCCTGCTCTAAATAATTGAAACACCTTTTTTTCTCTTTAGACATATTAAAATAATTTTTTTAAAAATACATTTTTTAATTGATTTCAGAGGGAGAGAGAGAAGCATCAATGATGACAGAGAATCATTGATCGGTTGCCTCCACGCCCCACACTGGGAATCGAGCCGGAAACCTGGGCATGTGCCCTGATCAGGAATCGAACCGTGACCTCCTGGTTCATAGTCAATGTTCAGCCACTGACCACACTGGCCGGGCAACTTACTTCTGAACATGTGGCTTCCTTTCAAAACAGAAGAATTAGTGCTGTGTGTGGTTTTCTTCTCTGGGAGGAAAGCCCGTATGTTCATGCAGCCCCTCAAACCGAGGTCTTTCTCATGTATCGCCTACTTCACACCAGTGTGGCCAACTGTAATAAAAGGCTGCATGGTAAAACCTAGATGTAGGTAAATGGTGTGAAGTGAAGGGAAATGTGTGGCCTCAATTGGTTACGTGAGGGGAAAACAAAGGGAAAGGAAAGGTGCCCAGGGGAGTGGTGTTGGCACTTGCCCGAGGCTGGGTTTGGGGACAGACAGATACCCTCTCAAGGGAGGGGTCTTGGGCACACCTGCCACCTCGAACCCTGTGCAGCTGCTCAGCCCCACAGAACTTCCCACGACCACCGGGGTGTGACGTGCTGTCCACGACGGAGCCCCTGGCACTGGAGATGCAGCTGGTGTGATGAGGCGGTGGACTTTCCCTTTCATTGCATTTAGTTTAGCCATCAGGTCCCAGCAGCACAGTGCAGAGAATTGGTCGTGGAGGGGAAAATGGCGCCTGCACTCCCCGGAGCTGAGCACTGACATGCCATGCAGCCTCTGCTTTCCATGGTGTCTGCAGCCTTCATTACGTTGCGGGGAGAAATGCTCAGAAATGGCAGGATTGGCCCCCATTCCCTAGTGCCTGTCCATGTTTGCTCAGAAAGAAAGTTGCCACCCAGATTTAGTAATGGCTGGCATTTTGGCATGTCCCTGGGCTGAGCATTGGGTTGTGAGGACTTTTGTAAATCTTATTTCAGAGAGGAGGGGAGAGGGAGAGAGAGAAACATCAATGATGAGAGGGAATCATCGATCGGCTGCCTCCTGCACGCCCCCTACTGGGGATCAAGCCTGCAACCCCAGCATGTGTTCTTAACCGGAATTGAACCCAGGGGCCCTTCAGTCCACAGGCCAATGCTTTATCCACTGAGCAACACCGGCCAGGGTGGGTAGTGAGCCTTTTAGGCATATTGGCTTATGGAAGCTTTCTAGTCCTCAAAGGGAGGTTGGTCTGTTCCTTATTTGCAGATACAGGGACAGACTCCAGGACGTAGAGTAAGTTGCCCAGGATCATAAAACCAGTCAGTAATGCCTGACTGGTGTGGCTCAGTTGTTGGACATCTATGAACCAGGAGGTCATGGTTCAGTTCCTGGTCAGGGCACATGCCTGGGTAGCGGGCTTGATCCCCAGTAAGGGGGCGTGCAGGAGGCAGCCGATCAATGATTCTTATCATTGATGTTTCTATCCCTCTCCCTTCTTCTTTGAAATCAATAGAAATGCATATATTTAAAACAAAAAAAAAGCCAATCAGTAGCGACCTAACTTCTTCAGTGCATGTGGTGCCCGAGGTCATGCCTGTGACTTGCTGTCCTGTGTTTGTGTGTGTGTTGGGGGATTTGCCCACCGCTTGCCCTCTGGGCCTGTTCGCAGAAGCGTTGCTGACGCCCTCGCAGGCTGCCGGGCCTCACCTCCCGGGACGTGTGTCTCCTTGCGCCCTGCAGGTCCCTGAGCACTGGCTGGCACAGCTGCTGCGTCCTTCCCGTGACCCATTTCGGTTGCTGCACTGACAGCTTTCCCTAGAGAGATGATGCCGATCAAGCGCTTTTACTGCGGCAGAGCCAAGAAGTGCTGGGTCCCAGACCTGTATGACCTAGACAGTGACTTGGCTCAGTACCCAGATGACATCGTAGGAGGAAGTCCGACTGACTCTGAATTTTCTCATCAGAGGTTTCGGAATTTCCTCTACGTGGAATTTGTCGGGCCTCAGAAGACCCTGCTCAGACTCCGAAACCTCTGCCTGGACTGGTTGCAGCCGGAGATTCACAGCAAGGAGGAGATCATCGACCTCTTGGTCCTTGAGCAGTACCTGAACATCCTTCCCGAGAGGGTCAGGCTCTGGGTGCAGGCCCGGCGGCCGCAGACCTGTGAGAAGCTCGTGGACCTGCTGGAGATGTACCTCGAGGTGTACGGACCCGAAGGTGAGGTGGGGCGGGCGGGGCGGGGCAGCACACCTCCCTCCCTGGCTGCCACAGCCAACCGTGTGATGGGGCTGTGTCCCCTGGAGAACAGTCACCAGAGTTACACACCAGCCACCCCCCATGAGGAGCCTCGCGCGTCTCGTGCTGTGGCCCCGGCTCCGTTTTTTTGTGTGTGTTTTTTTTGCATCTTCACCCGAGGATATTTTTTCCATAGATTTCTAGAGTGGAAGGGGGGAGAGAGAGAGAGACATCTATTGGTTGCCTCACTCACAAGCCCCTACGTGGCTGGGGCACCTGCAACGGAGGTGTACGTGCCCTTGACCGGGAATCCAACCCACGACTTTTCAGTCCTTGGGCTGATGCTCTAACCACTGAACCACCGACCAGGGCCCGGTTCCCTTTTGGAGACTGATGGGTGTGGTGCGCCGGGAAGTCGTATGTGGCTGCAGTTGTTGGGGGTGGGGTAGGTGCCGTCACAGCCCAGTTTCCACCAGGAGTGGTAGCAGCTGAGGGGTGAGGGGCTCAGAACGCTCTAGCGTCCCGTGGAGGTGGATATGCGGTGGGGCACGGGGGGACCCGAGAGTGGGCAGGTGATGGTCAGCGCTGAGTGGGTGTCTGTTGTCTTCTTAGACGGGGGCAGCGTGCAGATTGAAGGCAGATTGAACCGCAATGGAGTAAACAACCCCCTCGCACGCGCCCTCTATTTCCACAGTGAGTACCAGCCGGGTCATGCCGCCCATGGGCCCTGTCCTCCCATTTCCCGAAGGTTCACAGTGGGCATCGGGGCCTCTGAGGGCGGCCGCTGCTGCTCCGAGATCTGAGGGAGCGTAGGTTAATTGATAGTAGATTAGACATTTTATACCCAAGCCAACCCTAACAGAGTGAAATGCAAGACATGTATTGTTAGGGGTGGAAGTATTTAGTATGGAAGTTTGTAGTGGGCTGTTTCAAGCTGCACCCATAGCCTTCCCAGGAGGGGTGAGGCTCTAAAGCTACTTCACTTGTTAAACAGTTCTTCAGTGAACTTTAAAAAATTTTTTTTAATCAATTCTCTTTTTAAATATATTTTTATTGGATTCATAGAGAAAGGGAGAGGGAGATAGAAAAAACAATGATGAGAGAGAATCATTGATGGACTGCCTCCTGCACGGCCCCACACCGGGGAGGCGGGGGCATATGGCCCAATCAGGAACCGGATTGTGACCTCCTAGTTCAGTGGTTCTCAACCTGTGGGTGGTGACCTCCTTTGGAGGTTGAACGACCCTTTCACAGGGGTCGCCTAAGACCATCGGAAAACACATATATAATTACATATTGTTTTTGTGATTAATCACTATGCTTTAAATATATTCAATTTGTAACAATGAAAAGATATCCCGCATATCAAATATTTACATTATGATTCATAACAGTAGCAAAATTACAGTTATGAAGTAGCAACGAAAATAATTTTATTGTTGGTAGTCATTAGGAAGGTTGAGAACCACTGTCGTAGTTCATAGGTCAACCCTCAGCCACTGAGTCACACTGGCCGGGCTGTTCAGTGAACTTTAAAAAGGAGTGTTCCATGTTTCTCTCTCATCGATGTTTCTAACTCTCTATTCCTCTCTGTAAAAAATCAATAAAATATATTTTAAAAAATAAAAATCAAATTCTCCCCTTTAAAAAAATAAAATAAAAGGAGCGTTGCTTTGGGGGAGGGCGTATGTTTTGTAAGTAGAGTAATGTGCACATTGAAAGAGGCTTGGGTAACTGGACGGCAGAGGGGCTGATGTCCATCTTGGAGGTGGACTTGACCGTGTACAACCTGGGGAACCGCAGAAGTGTCTGCATGGGGGGCGAGCTTCTGAAGTAAGCATCAGAACTTGCTTTAGAGCAACCCCCACGTAGTCAAAGCCTCCAGAAACTGCCCCCGGCCTAGGGTGATGGGAAGAGTCCAGGTTGCCCTTGGGCGTGTGGAGACCTCTATGTGAGATCTGATTCCTGAAGGCAGGAGCAAGGATCATGTTCTTGTTGAGGGAGGTATGCACATGGGTGGGTGGCCACATGTCAGTGCTATGCTCACCCCAAATGTCTGGCTTTCGCAGGAGACCGGGACCGGGATTGGGACCAGGACTGGGATCGAGACCGAACCTGGGACCGGGCCTGGGACCGGGCCTGGGACAGGGCCTGGGACCGAGCCTGGGACCGGGGCCGGGCTTGGGAGCGAGCCCGTATGCGGGAGCGGGAGCGGAGGGCCAGAAGCAGGGACCTGTCCTTGCGAGAGCGCTGGCCGTATGGCAGGATTTCCAGAAGCAGTAAGTCCTGCGTTCTGACCTCCCTAATGCGCCTGCAAGGCTGGCTGGCCTTTTCCTTCACAGGCCTTTCTCTCCCCAGGGTTCCCTCCCCGGGATCTTTCCCTTCCTGCTTCGATGGAGAGAACATTTTCGATGGAAAGAGGGCGCCGCCGTCGGAGCTTGCTGATGCAGTACGAGTTGCAATCCCAGGTATGTTTCGGTTCCCTCTCTCCATTACATGGCAGAGCTGCCTTTTTTCCCAAGAGGGTGTGTGTGTTCATCTGCCCCCTAAAATCCCACCTGGGCAGGGAGGCCCAGTTACTCTTGAACGGATCCCAGGTCTGTCCCCAGCGGTGGCAAGTGGCCAGAGTGACTGCTCCGTTTCCTGCCTCCTCCACGTGGTCAGAGGAACTCTTTGCTACTCACGAAGCGCTCGTCTCTGAGCACAATGAGTGAATCGCCTAGTGCCCTGCATGTCGGTCATGTGGACGTGCAGTGGTGCAGCACCCATTCCTGGGGGACTCGAGTGTAGCTTGTGCAGTTGTGGGCACCATTGCTGATTACAAATGCAAAGGGAACAGCTGCTGTAGAGCTACCCACGTGCGATAGATGAACAATTTTACACCAAAGCATCATTTCTCTTTCATAGAGAATTACCATTCAGAATTTAATGTACATTTATTATCCTCCGATGAGGCCAATGGAATACAAAGATATGAAAAATGCCCTTTCCCTTTGGCCATTGCCCTTGGGGTCTGTTAACAACAGAGATGGTGACCCTGCTGACTCCCTCAGTCCACCAAGTTCTTGACCTCGTCTGTGGTCTGCCAGCCCCCAGGGGAGGAGCTCGGGTCTCCTTGCTGCCTCACAGGTGCCTCTTCACACCTGAGCCCAGCACACCTCTTACTCTCGAACTTCCTGTTGCTTCAAGTGATGGGACTCAGCCACGCAGGGGGTAACTGTGTCAGCTCTGCGCTGCCTCCTGATCTTTCGTAGCTCATTTGGGTCCTAAAGGTCCTCAGCCGTAACCTAGTTTCATTTTTGAAGCTCTGCGTAGTTTTGGTGGTTTTTGGTGTTTAATCACTGGGCACGGACACTTGCTCTCCCCTTAAATCCCAGCGCCTGTGCTCATGTATCTTTCCCAATAGAGATGCACCTAATTGTGCAACTCCTTTTTTTGCTGCATTTTCTTCTCTCTCTGGAGGCCCATGGGGACAGACTCTGGTGAGGCCTGTGTTTGCCGTTTTAGGGTACAGTGTCAAACCAGGGCGCATGGAAGCTCACTGAGGGCAGGAAGGTTCAGAACTCAATTAATGCCCATGCCACTTGCCAGCAGTGGAACTCTATAATACATTATCAGAGTATCTTTATATAGAGTTTAATGTGTTTCCTTTACATACTTTTTCCTATTTAAACCACACATCACATTGCAGAACAGCCTCCCCCACAGCACTGCCAGGCGGGCTAATGCCCTTCTCCCCATTTTCTAGAACCTGAGGCTCAGAATTTTCTGTTTCCAAGGCTGCACAGCTCAAAGGCTGCATTCCTTCTTTGACCCTACTTTTCTGTGGCTCTGAAACCTGTGGGCTCCCCACGGTCCCGTCTCCCTCCTCCCGTGTGTCTCAGGCCTTGGTGCCGTACTCCCCGGGACCACCGCCCTCTGAAAGCAGTCATGTTTTAGTGCAGCAGTAAGAAAAGGTTCTGCATAGAAGGCTCTCTGAGTAATACAGGGAACGTAAAAATTCTTTTTAGGAAAGTATCCATTAGAACACAAAGACAGCTGTGAAATGAAGGCACTTAGTGCCTAAAATCACCCCTGGGTTATTTGGAACTTCTGCATACCCAGAGGAGCCCACAGTGTAGCCGTGTTGTGCAAAGCATGTGTGTGCAAGACATGGATGTGTGTGTGTGTGCAGGGGTGGGAGGCTTAAGTCACACTTCCTGATCAAATGTCTGCTAAAACACATTTCTTTCTGTTCCCCACATATGCCATGCATAGTTGATATTTAGCCTGTTGAAGCTTTCCCACCAGCCCTCTCTCTCTGTGTCACAATATTGCCCACCACTGAATGCCCCACCCAAGACTCTCTACAAAACCTTTGCTCACTAGTCCAGCCCACCCTGAACTGTCCCTCTACTAAGCCCATTTAGCACTGATTATCTGTACCCCACTTTATTGTTTATTGTTCTCTAATTGTTTCATGAGTCTTTTCTCTCCAACCAAATTATAAGCTGCATGAGGGCAAGGAATGTGTGTCATACGTCTTTTGGATCTTCCTCAGACTATAGCGCCAAGGTAGGTACAAAGTAGGTCCCTAGTAAAACTTGACTTGGACCACTCAGAACCCCAAACGCTGTGAGCACTTTCTACATACCTTTGTATGTTGTAGCTCCCATGTCGCAAGCATTCTTCTCTCTCTGGATGCCCCTCGGACAGGCCCCACTGAGAGGTCCGTGTTTGCTGTTTCAGGATACGATGTCATACCAGGACATGGTGAAGCTCACTGAGGACAGGAAGGCGCAGAACTCGATCAAGGACAACATGGAGAACTACAGGAAGCTGCTGTTCCTGGGTAAGCCGCTGCTCCCGCAGGCACTGGAGCATTTTGCCACCTTCCTCTTTGCAGCTGCAGGATGGTAGAGTCCACGTTGATCTCTCTGGACTTCAAGGGTAATCAGAAACCTTTGAAAGATCTCAAAGCAGAAGCATAAACAAAGAGATTTCTGTTTCTAAGAAATCCTTCTGGCTCTGGGTGAAGACCCCATTGCACAGGGTTGGGGGGACACGGAGATGGCACCTGCCACAAGAGCTGATGCTCATAGGTGGTGACAGCAGACTTTTAAATACACACTCAGGACGGGACCCCAACGTCCCGTGCGCACCTCCAAGAAGAACCTAGCTTGGCCTAGCGGGCAGTTGGCCGTGCAGGTCTGGCGCAGTGGAGAGAGAGCTGTACCGAGAGTTCTGTGTGAGGCAGTGGAGCCTTGAGCTCCAATGTTTGCAGAAGAGGCAGGGAAAGAAGAGTCAAGAGGTAGGAGGACACCCCTGGAGGCCAGTGAAACAGGACATCAAGATGGAGGAGGTGGTTAGGAAAAGGTGAAGCCTGAAAAAGATGCAGTGAATTTAGGGAGGCATGAAGGTCTCTCTGTACAAAAGAGTAGGTGGAGTCAGGAAGATTAATTACATTCACGTTAGAACGAGCTAAGGAATGGTAGTAAGGAAGTGAAACTGCAAATACAAGACACCCCAAGGATTGGATTTGGGCTACTTCATATTTAGTGGCTCAGCGAAAGGCAGACATCAATTTATAGTGCTGAGTCTTGGTCCCCAACTTGAGTATGAGCTGTCGTATTATTGTGAACAGGGCTTCAGCTTGCCGAAGATGATGGCCACTCCCACATGACACAAGGCCATTCACGGTCAAAGAGAAGTGCCTACCCAAGCACCAGTCGAGGTAAGCACTAGGTAGATCACGCATAGTGGCCACTTTAATCGGTGAGATGGGCACTGATCTGTACATACACACAGTGAGTCCTCACTTAACGTCCATAGGCTCTGGAACTGTACGTGAAATGAGCAGGCTAATTGATGTCAACAGAGTTAAATTTCTACGGCATCTCAGCAATGTTAAAATGAAACAATGTCACTCGAGGACCTGCTGTACTGATAAGCCTTGAGCAATTTATATTTACACCACTGTCACGGAAGACCTACTGTGATTTTGCACAAGTACAGGAACTAGGGAGTATTTACATTTCATGTTTCTTTTCAGGTCTGAGAACCATGCCTGAAGCCAAAAAGTCAACCCATCGCCGGGGGATCTGTGAAGAGGAGGCTTCACATGGAGCGATCATGGAAAAATTCAAGGACGTTTTGCGAAACCCCAAATCCGCAAGAGCGAGAGTACCCAGTGACCGGTTTCCTAGGGTCCCCAGAAGGGCAGACCATGATTGGAAAGAAGTGTCCTTAGACAGAGAGTCGGTGATTCAGGAGAGGGGCTGTGCAGAGAATGCCTGTCAGGGAGCTTGTAATTGTAACTCAAACCTTGTTTCCCAAAAGAAAGTTCTTGAGAGAAAAAGGCGCTATCAGTTTGACACCGATGGGAAGGGTTCTGCTCACGATCAGAGGGGCTCTCCCCTGAAGAGACCCTTTGAAGGCAGTGAGATGAGAAAAGCCATGAGCATGAGCAGCCTTAACCCCCCTTCTGCCGAGTCGCAGCCGCTTGATTTTGCCGCCATGCCCTATGTGTGTGATGAGTGCGGGAGGGCTTTCAGTGTGATTTCTGAGTTTGTCGAACATCAGATCATGCACACTAGAGAGAATCTGTATGAGTATGGTGAAGCGTTTATCCGTAGTGTGGCTGTCACTCGGAAAAGTGCGGCTCGAGGGAAATGCTTTGAGTGTAAGGAGTGTGGGGAAACCTTCGATAAGACTGCCGATCTTGCCGAGCATTGTCAGATTCACTCTAGAGGCCATCTCACAGAATGTAATGATGAGGAATATGAGGAGCCCTTCATGCCTAGCCCCACCTTCAGTGAGCTTCAGAAAATGTATGGGAAAGAGAAATTCTATGAGTGTAAGGTGTGTAAGGAAACCTTCCTTCATAGTTCTGCTCTGGTTGAACACCAGAAGAAAATCCATGGGAGAGATGACAAAGATGATGAAGTCTTCAAGCCCAACCCAGCCTTTAAGGGGCTGCAGAGAATGCATGCTAAAGAGAAAATGTACGAATGTAAGGTGTGTGGGGAGACCTTCCGCCACAGCTCATCTCTGAAGGAACATCAGAAGATTCACACCAGAGCAAACCTGTTTGAAAACAAGAGCAAAGTGTGTGAGGAAACCTTTATTCCTGGTCAGCCCGTTAGAAGGCGTCAGAAATATTACTTTCAGGATAAGCTCTTAGGCTTTAAAGATGGTGGGGGTGCCTTTGGGCAAAACCTCCTATTCCCCGGTGAGCATTCCTCAGTTCATTTTCCGAAGAATTCCTATGAAGGCAGGGCGTATGGGAAGTCTGTCATTCATAGCAGGCCCTTTACTGAGTCTCGGAAGAGTCATACTATAACAAGACCACCTGAGAATGAGGACGAGAAGGCATTCACCATTAGCTCTAATCCTGATGACAACCAGAAGGTTTCCACTGAAGAAAATGTCCTTGAGAAGAAACCAAATGAGAGGTCTGTTATTCATAGCTTATCTTTGGCTGAAGTTCAGAAATGTCACAGTGCCGTGGGGCCCAATAAACCAAAAGTGATTGCAGAGTCTACCATTACAAGCCCAAATATTACTGAACAGAAAGTCCATGCTGGAGAGAAGACCTCTGAAGAAAAGAAGAATGAGAGGTCCGTTATCCATAGCTTACCCGTTTTCAAACTTCCCAAAAATCCCAGTGGAAACGAATGGAATGAGAAGGGAGGATTCTCAAATCTTCATGCTAAGCAACAGAAACCTCCTGCCAGACCCACCCCTAATGAAGGGGACAAGAGTAACAACTACAAGGACTCTGTTATACGCCGTGTATCTGGTACTGAACCTCCAAAAAGTCTTGCTGCAGAGGGAGCCAGTGAGTTTAAGAAGGATGGCCAATCGACTGTTTCCAAATCAGATGTCACTGAACATCAGAAGGCTCGTGCTAAGAAGAAAAACATTGAGCGCAGGAACTGCGAGACTTCAGTAATTCACTCCCTGCACTTCGGTGAACCTGAAACCTTCCGCCCCAGAGAGAAACTCTATGAATGTCCAGAGTGTGGAGAGTCCTTTGTTCGTAGCTCCGACCTCACTGAACATCAGAAGATTCACCATAGAAAGAAGCCTTTTGGAAGCAAAAACTACGAACGATCTGTTATTCGCAGCGTAGCCTCCGCTGACCCACAGACAAGTTATGCTGAACAGCCAGTGCAGGTGAGATATGGTCAAGAGCCAGAAGGGATGACTTGCATTCAGCAGCCAAAGCAGACCAGTTTTCTTGACAAGCTAGTGGAGATGAGTTATGTGAAAGAGCCAGTGCAAGGTTACGGTCAGGAGCCAGTGGGGATGACCTGCCTTCAACAGCCAGAAGGGATGACGTGCCTTCAAGAGCCAGAAGAGATGACCTGCCTTCAACAGCCAGAAGAGATGACCTGCCTTCAAGAGCCAATGCAGGATAGTTTCTTCGAAGACCTATTGGAGATGAATTATGTTGAGGAGCCAGTGCAGGGTTACGGTCAGGAGCCAGTGGGGATGATTTGCATTCAACAGCCAGCACAGGCAAGTCATCCTCGCCAGCCAGTAGGAGTGAGTTATGCTGGACAGCCGGCACAGGCAAGTCATCCTCGCCAGCCAGTGGGAGTGAGTTATGCTGGACAGCCGGCACAGGCAAGTTGCGCTCAGCGGCCAACGCCGCAAGAATGTCAGGACTGTGGGCAATCCTTTGCAACCATTGAAGACCTTGGTGCCCATCAGAAAATCTACATTCAAGAGAAGTTCCATGGAGGTTCTGTTATTCAGGGTGCAGGCCGTGGCGGGCCTGAGCAGGAAGAGCCTGAGCCAGAGGAGGAGGAGGAGGAGGAAGATCCTGAGGATTCAATCTATGGATGTAAGGACTGTGGGCTGGGCTTTGCAGATCGGGCCGACCTTAAGGACCATCAGAAAGTTCATGGCAGAGAGTACCTCGTCGACACTCGTGAGTACACGCAGTCTGTAATTCACACCCATTCCATCAGCGAGTATCAGAGAGACAACACTGGAGAGCAGCTCTTCGAATGCCCAGCATGTGGCGAGTCTTTTGTTCACAGCTCATTCCTTTTTGAGCATCAGAAAGTTCATGAGCAAGACCCATATTATGGCCACAGGAGGTATGATGAGCCTTTTATGAATCCTTTCATCATTAACCCACAGAGGTTCCGTGCCCCACAGGCAAATCCTACAGGGATGTATCTGCAGTGCCACGTGTGTGGCCAAGATTTCATTCATGGCTCTGTCTTTAATGAGCATCTGGCACTTCACATGGGAGAGGGCTCACCGGAGCAGGCCCAGAGGAGCAATGACACTGTCAATGCAGGCTTGGCCCTCGCTGAGTTACAGAGAAGCCAGGCCGAAGAGAAGCGCTACGAGTGTGGAACATGCGGAGAGGCCTTCCTCAGCCAGGCAGACCTGAGGGAGCACAAGAAAATTCACAAGAAGGATGATGAGCCCTACGATTACGGGGCTTCCTTCGTTCATACCTCATTTCTTACCGAACCCCCTAAGGGAGATTCTCCATTCTTTGAGTGCAAGGACTGTGGGAAGTCCTTCATTCATAACACAGTTCTCACTAAGCACCAGAAGTTCCATGTTGAAGAGGAAGAAGCAGCAGCCCAGGAAGTCGAAGCCAATGTTCTTGTTCCACGAGAAGTTCTGCGGATCCAGGGGTCGAACATGGAAGCTGCCGAGCCAGAAGTGGAGGCCGCTGAACCGGAAGTAGACGCTGCTGAGCCCAATGTGGAGGCCGCTGAGCCCAATGGGGAGGCTGAAGGACCAGATGGGGAGGCTGCAGAGCCAAATGGAGAGGCTGAACAGCCCAACGGAGAGGCCGAACAGCCCAACGGGGATGCTGATGAACCAGATGGTGCAGGAATTGAAGACCCTGAAGAGAGAGAGGAAGAGCTAGAGGGGAAGGCTGAAGAGCCAGAGGGAGACGCCGATGAGCCAGATGGTGCAGGGATCGAAGACCCAGAAGAAGAAGATGAAGATGAAGAGATTCAAGTTGAAGAACCATACTATGACTGCAGGGAATGTGGAGAGACCTTCACTACCACCTCGGCCTATGGGGAGCACCGGCAGACCCATGCCAGAGTGATCATATTTGAGTCTGGAAATGTCCATGGGGAAGGCTCCCACTACACTGGGCAGGCCAGCACCAGCACTCAGGGCAGCGATAGGGCTGACGACAAGTACTTCAAATGTGATGTCTGCGGGCAGTTCTTCCACGACCGCCTCTCCCTCGCCAGACACCAGAACACCCACACTGGCTGAGAACACAAGTGGAAGGTCGGACAGCCTTTCCTGGGACCTGACCCTCACAGCAAATCCACAGCAACCCATAGTAACGTCAGAAGGACACTTAGCTTGGCTTGTACACACTGACTTTTAACCTCAGATAACTTGGACTGGAAAGGAACCGGAGGCGGTTCCATTGGTCTTACCTCTTTCCCCATCATACACCAGTGCGTGCATGTGGGGAAGCCACAGCACATCCCTTCCCTTTCATCCTAGTGACCAGGTTGAGGGACAGTCCTAGGAGAGCTGAGACTACAGAAATAGCCCCAACCAAATGATACTTCTGTAACCTATATATAACTTTCCTGAGCTGTATATAAAATAGCAAATCATAGCAAACAGTAGTCACAGGTACTTGGATTTAATGATACAGAGTTACAGTTTACTGTGCAGAGATACCTCCGTGGTATGCTTTGATTTTTTTTTTTTTTTTGGAAGAGGAAATGAGCAACACACTTGTAAATATCTTAGTTCCTGTGAAAGATTTGTTGTGCATTATTTTAACCCCTTCAGTATCTTTCTGAGTAACTGTGTTGTCCCTTACTCTTAAATATTCCTGTCAAGGTGTAGGCATGCAAGATAATGTCCTTTCCTCTGTGCCGTTCGAAAGGAGTTCTTTGAGCTTCCTTTTCAGCCATCTCGTCTACACCAATACCTTGGAACCTAATGCTGTATACGCCTTTGCAATTTGTGGATTGACCTTTTGTGACCCAAGTTGATCCCTTGCCATATTGTACCTTGCAGTGATTCTCATGCAAAAATACTGCAAGTTTGTGTTTGTTTAACCAACTTAATGTGTGCTCGAGAGTGAATCCACAAACGCCAAGCTTTTCCCTGTAAATCTTGCTTCTTTGCCTTTAAGAGAGTGGGTTGCAACCATCACTAGATCGCGACAGTGCCTAATGAAGGTTGAAACCGTCAGGAGAGCCTCTCCTGTTGTAAATATGGATGCAGGTGACAACTGTCATCACTTTTTGTGCGCTTTCTGCCTTAAGTGACACGTAGCAGCGTGGCTTTGTTAGTGTGTGCCGCCACGAGTCAGCTTGCACCTGGGCGCCCAGGAGCTTGTACCCTTAGAGCTTTCTATTACCGAACCTAATTCTTGTCTTCACCTGTCTGACCCTCAGCCCCGTGTCTAACTTGCATTTTTTTAAAAAGAAAAGCTTTCTTTACAGTCAACCTAAGCTTAACATGGACTCAGGTTCCCAGCGCCTTAATTTGTTTTGTTACCATTGTTCTCTCCTCGTTCAGCCCTCCTGAGTAGTTTTGATCTGATTCCATTTATTACAGATCGACCTCACAGCTTGCGGTTTCCTGTGTCTTGTTCTGTGGGCCACTTGTGCTCCTTTTGCTTCCCCTCCCCCCTGCGTCTTGACTATTGAGATTTTTTTCTTTTTTTTTTTTGGCTTTGAGTTGACTGGAATTATAATTTTAAAATTTAAAAAAAATGTAAAGTGGATCTGATGAAGAAGTGAACAAAAGATAAGAGCAGATCATTTGAGAAAGAAAATGCCAATGCTTTCTTTGGGAATGTGCCCAAATCTCACTCTCCTAGATCTGCATGGTTAGGGCTGGAGGAGAGTGTCAGAGCTGCTGGGAGTGCCAAAGCCCGGAGCGGTTGTGGGGCTGAGGGCATGGAGCAGAACGGAGGAAGCCAAAGAAAGGAGTCCTAACCCAGCAGCAGACCGGGAGGGTGAGGAAGCAGGCAGAGGGAAACACCGGAAATGGACTGGAAGGCCAGGTCGCTGAGAATATGGCCTGGGCACTTTAGTGGGGGCCATCTGGATGGTACAGTGGAGGCGAGGGCCAGCTGCATCGAAAGACCGGAGGTTGGAACGGACATCCGGAAAAATGGGAGCAGTGAGGCTGCATCCGAGCAGGGCCCTTGAGAAGGGAGCCATTGCTGATGTTGGGGCCAACTCGGGTTCATCCCTGTTGGCAGCATCAATTGGTAGCTCCTTCTCAGAAAGCAACTTGCCAAATGTGAGGGTGTCCGTTCCAACCTTGTGTTCGTGAAAAATTAGGAACAACTTTGATGCCAAACAATAGAATGATTAAGCGAACATATCTGATTCTTACTCAGCTGTTTTAAAAATGATAATCATGCAGAGTTATGTAGTAGCGTGGAAATATATTTACAGAATATTAAGTGGAAAAAGCAGGACACAGAATTATATTTATACTACAATTATAACTGTTTAAAAATGTATGCTTTTAATCAACAGCTGTTGTGTTGTAGGCTTCTAGTTGAGCATTATTTTTCTTAAATTCTTTGATGTTCTTAATGGTAGTGTTGTTACTAAAAAGTTTGTAGTCATGTCTCCATTGTGAACAAAATTTGAACTCATTATCAGATACTTGGAAAATACAGAAAAGTGGAGGAAAACAAACAAATCATATTCCCACCATCCAAAGACAGATACACTCTTTAGTATATTGTTTCTTGTTTCTGTGCACAGGCTTATGATTATAACTGTGTCAAAATGTGTATTCAAAGTTGATGTTATGTTACCTTGGTTTTCAAATGTTCCTTATTAATAGTGTTCTGATTTTAAAAAGTTTATTATGCTTCTATTACAAGCATAATACATACCCAGAGGAAAAAATTGGAAGATACAGTAAATTAGAAAAGAAAAAAACATCACTCATATTCCCAACACCCAACAACTGAATATCTTGATCTGTTTCCTCCATCTTGTGCACAAACTTATGGTGAGTGTTGAATATGTATGCATCAAGTCTACAGTGATAAAAAGTGGAGAATCATTAACATAGTATTGTTGTTGTGGAATTATGGTTAAATATTTTGTCTCAAATTCCTTGGGTGATCTTTGGTGTTTTGCTATTAAATCTTATGTATGTATTTTCCCATTGCAAATATAATACTCAGAATTTGGGGGAATTCAATCAAATAGAAAAGAAATCCACCCATATTCCCAGCACCTAACAGCTCCTATTAACATCTGTCTGTACACCAGTCTGTGATTGTTAGGGTGTTAATGATAAGTATGCATAGAGTCAAAGATGGGAAGAAATATGGAGAGTAATTAAGAAATAGGTGTGTGGTTGTGGGATTACGGTTAAGTATTTTGTCTTGATTTCCTTGAATGATCTTTATCATAGTGTTTTGGTAATTCACCTTTATTATATCTATTTCCATAGTAATCACACCGTGTGTTCATTATAGAAACTTTGACGTCGCAGAAATGTAGAAGAGATACACCCATATTTTCATCATCCAAAGACTGTGGTTAACATCTTGATAGATTTTTTCATCTTGTTTCTGTGCACAGGTTTTTGGTTTGTTAATATGGTTGTGGTCGTTCTACCTATCTGTAATAGTGTCACCAATAAAAATAAAGTTAAAAATAAGATCTTTCTCAGTCTCTTCTTTTATCCATTTTAAGTGTCTGGGATTGATAAATACAGTTTTTAAAATTATAAATCCAAAAACTTAGTGCCTTCTTAGGCCTTAACTTTTGCCTTAAAACTCTTATTTCAGTTTTAAGTATTGCATATTTTGATTCGAAGGTATTTTTAAATGCATGATTCCACATTTTTAGATATGTTTATACAATTAAAACATTCTTAATAGTGTTTAATCAGTAGATGAGTGGATAAAAAAGCTGTGGTACATTTATACCATGGGATACTATGCAGCAGTAAAAAAGAATATCTTGCCCTTTTAAGACAGCATGGAGGGACCCGGAGAGTATAATGCTAAGTGAAATAAGTCAGTCAGAGAAAGACAAGTATCACATGACCGCACTTGTGTGGAATCTTAAGTAACAAAATAAACTGATGATCGGAGTGGATTCAGAGACACAGAGCATGGAACAGAGTGTGGAATCTCAGGGAAGGCGGGGGAGGGTGGGTGGATGGGAGGTAGTCAACCAAAGACCATGTATGTATATATGCATGGCCCATGGACACAGACAATAGGGTGCTGAAGGCCTGGCATGGGGGGTTAGAGGGGGTCACTGGGGGGAAAAAGGGAACATATGTAATACTTTGAACAATAGGAAAAAAACCACGATAACCACATGTGAATTTCAGTTATTTGAGTCGGTATTCCTAAATCTTCCCTGAGGTTAAAAGGTGTTTATCTTGAGGAGTCATTTCCCTTGTTTTAAACCTGACCTCACCACCAGAAACATCCCAGGCAACTTGGCAGGTTGTCCCCCAGATGAGTTGGGAGGTGATTTTTAAATATGCCTGTGCGCCCATCATGGCCAGAGATGTCCAGCCGGGTTGCCCCATCCCCAGTTGGGGATTGTGCCCCTGATTCTATGACACTAAGGAGATTTCCCATATTTGACATCCTTCTAAGCCCCTGAGCGTCACGTGATTGGAGTCTACTCTTAAGATAGAAGAGTGTACTTTTCACTTAGCGACTCTGGAATTTGGCAGAGCCCTGCGTTCTTTCATACTCTCAGGACTTGTGTGTATTAAAATGGAAGTCCATCCTGTTTCGCTCATGTCCTGTGGTGTCTGATTGGTCACAACGCTAATGGTCTTGTGAGAGGGAGCATCAGTGTAGGTCACGGTGAGAGGGTCAGTTCTTGCGTAAGATTGATTTCCCGAAGAGTATATCATGGAAGGAAGTAGACGAAGGGAATGCAGTGAGGGTCCCCTGGAGTTGCCTGACCAGCACTTACACTCTGGGGAATTCTTCCCCTCCCACCTCAGTTGTAGGGATAACTGCTCCCAGGCCACCACGTTTATTCTGCGAGAGTTGACCCCTCTCTGGCCTCCGCTGATGGGTGCTCATGGGTTCCCAGTGTCCAGACTCAGACTAAGGGCCACCTGAATGGTCATATAGGTTGGGGCTGGGTGTGCTGAGGAACCAACAGACCTGGGATAAAGCCACATGGCCAGAGGGAAACTTGGTTCCTGGAGCCTCAACCCCCGCCCCCCCCCCCGACCCCCGTGCCCTGTGAATCCTCACAGAACTGCCTAACTTTGGGTTCCCTAACTCTTAGGTCTTTAAGACTCCTCCCCTCTCAAATGAGATGGCTTTATTATTGGTGTCCTTCATGCTGTTTTCACCAAACCCAAATCCCTCCCCCTTCCTGGGACCACTCGGTCTTGTGAGAAGGCCACAGCACCCTGCCCTGCCCCTTCCAAAGGCTGGGCTTGGTGCCAACCAGGCTCCCCGAGCCCATGAACACAAATTATTCCAGTGGCAGCACTGACCATTACTACTAGTTCCTGCTGCACAGGCAGCAGCGCTATGCCAGTAACTTGTGCTTCTTGAGGCCTGATTGTTCAGTTCTTCCTTTGATTCTCTGAGCCACACAGTGTACTCCCAATCGATTTCATGTTTGCTTTATGTGGCTGGAGTGAGTGATTTGCCACCCAAAGGAGCCCTAACTGATACAGAAGTTGATGCCAGAGAATGGGTTGGCGCTAATCAACCCTGAGGGAAATGTGGGTTGCTTTCCATTAAATGTGGGGTGTTGGGATAGGCCACTGGAAGACCAAGGCATGGGGCAGTGAAACATCTATTGCCTGTGGTCAGTTATCTGTAATCATCTGCTTCCTGGGATGAAGGGCTTGATAGCTGCTGTCAGAGACAAATCCAAAGACTATAAAGAAAGTCTAGACCAGTGGTTCTCAACCTTCCTAACGCCGCGACCCTTTAATACAGTTCCTCATGTTGTGGTGCCCCCCAATTTCATTGTTACAAATTGTACATAATTAAAGCATAGTGATTAATCACAAAAACAATATGTAATTTTTTAAAAATATATTTTATTGATTTTTTACAGAGAGGAAGGGAGAGAGATAGAGAGTTAGAAACATCGATGAGAGAGAAACATCGATCAGCTGCCTCCTGCACATCTCCTACTGGGGATGTGCCCGCAACCCAGGTACATGCCCTTGACCAGAATCGAACCTGGGACCCTTCAGTCCACAGGCCGACGCTCTATCCACTGAGCCAATCTGGTTTCGGCAACAATATGTAATTATATATGTGTTTTCCGATGGTCTTAGGCGACCCCTGTGAAAGGGTCATTCGACCCCCAAAGTGGTCGCGACCCACAGGTTGAGAACCGCTAGTCTAGACAGAGGTATCAGAGGGTATCTACAAATACCCTGATCCTACAGCCAAATCCATATCAGCCAAGTTCATAGTCTTGCCCTATCTATGCTTGACTGCTCGACCAGTTGACTGGTCGTTATGACATGCACTGACCACCAGGGGACAGACGCTCAATGCAGGAGCTGCCCCCTGGTAGTCAGTGTGCTCCCACAGCCAACCTTCCGTGGCCAGCCATCCTCCCACGGTCCCTGCCCCCTGGCTGGCTGCCCCAATAGGCCTGATCAGGACTGGGCGAGATGGCGGCCCCCGTCGGCCCCGATCACCAGCCAGGCCAAGGGACCCCACCCGTGCAACATAGGTCTGTGCTTTGACCAGGAATCAAACTCACAAGCTTTTTGATGTATGGGATGATGCTCCAGCCAACTGAGTCACCCAACCTAATGGCTCTGTCTAGAATTATCAGTCGTATGTTAAATAGGTGTGTGTGAGAGTGGGCATCCTTGTCTTGTTCCTGACCTTAGAGGGAAAGCTTTCAACTTCCAACTTGAGCACAATGTTAGCTGTAGGCTTGTCCTATTTGGCCTTTATTATGTTGCAGTTGAACTATCCTTGCATTCCAGAAGTAACTTCCATTGATCATGGTGTGTGATCCTTTTAATGTGCTATTGAATTCATTTTGTTAGTACATGTTTCCCCTGCTATCTGAAAGTAGATGTTCCTTTGAATCTTTCCAAAACCGAAATGACGTAAAGTGAAGAAACAATGACCTGAGAACACATCTTGCAAACGATGCACAAAATTAATCAAGATAAAGCACAGATGCTGATAGATACAGGTCAACGCGAAGGTGCCTTGATGCTGACATGCTGAGTGTAGTTCCAGGGGAAGGAGCTTGACAGGGCCACTCTTGCTGTTTGGGCACCTGCTGCCTCTATAACAATTCATGTGACTTTAGAATTCTTCTGCTAAAGGCAGAATATATTCCCTACCCCAGGTGACTTGCTTTGGCCAATAGAATGAGGGTACAGTGATGGTACCAGTTCCAAGTCTAGGCCTCAAGAGGCCTTGTGTATTTTCACTCGTTCTCTTGCATTTCTTTTTTTTTCTTTCTTTTATTTTATTTGAGAGAGAGGAAAGGAGAGAGAGAGAAACATTGATTTGTTCCACATGTTCATGCATTCATTGGTTGATTCTTGTATGTGCCCTGACTAGGGATTGAACCCACAACCTTGGAGTATCGGGACAATGCTCTAACCAACTCAGCTGTTGGGTCAGAGTGAAAAGTTTGTTTCTTTATCAATAAGCTAGAGACCCAGTGCCATGCACCGGTGGGGTCCCTTGGCCTGGCTGCGGGGATAGCCGAAACTGGCTTTCTGACATCCCCCGAGGGGTCCCGGATTGCTAAAG